CGTCTCTCTCTCTCTCTCTCTGTCTCTCTCTCTCTCAGACACACACTCAGCTATGGCTTGAAAGTAGTTTCCAAGGCAAGCAGATAAGTAACCCGTCGCGAGCCCGAGCACACAGAAAAAGAAGAGAAACCACCGTGCGAGTCTATCTATCAATGTTGACCTCCTTGGGATCGGCATCACAGCTTCATGCACTGCACTCTGGAAGAGCATATCAGATTCGTTTGTTTCATCAAACTCGGAAGGTCTTTTGTTCCTCTGATCGCCAGTTCATGGTGAGCATGGAAGAAAGGCTGGTTCTTCTTCTTCTTCTTCTTCTTCATGGGTGAGGTGGTTGAGAGGTCATCATCGGAAACATGGTCTTGTGTTCTCGTTGGCAATATTATTTTGCCCTTCCATCACATCATCACATGATGAATCCCTGTTGGCTGGTGAATGATGTTGATGGGGTAACTGCCATGTGGTCGAAGGGCATTGCCAGGACCATGTCGGCTGGTGCTCAGTTGGTCTTGCATCATTAGAAATGGAGGCAACTTTGCTATTCAACACTTGGTTTCAACCACTCGTTGAACAAGAAGCATTAAGGTTTCCATGTTTGAACACTTTCTCTGTCCTTCTTTGCTGATGTATTCCTTAGAAAGAACACTTTTTAACTGTCATGGAGTAAAAGAAGTTGTATCTGATGGATGCTTTAGGCACGCATCATTGCTGTTGCTTCCAAGAAAACATCTGCCTTTGCTGTTGCACTTGCTGTATGTAGTTTACTCCACATGCAGATGAAGAAGAAGAAGAACAACAAAAGTGAAGAACTAGACATGCATATGTTTGCCTGAATCAGCAATTCATGCTTCATTAATTCTGCACAACGATTACTTTAGGTGTAGGAAATGTGAAGCAAAATGGTTGACCCCAAAAGGTCATCGCATGTAAACATCCCAGAATTCACATGATCTTACTTTTTTCTTCATGTGACCGTCATGACCCTCTCTTCCTTTGCGTCACCCGGATGATCTCTGCCCCACCTGGGGGACAATTAGGCCAATCTGCACCGGTTCTTCCAAAAGCAATCCACCGAACAGCAATCTCATCAGGTTATTCTTTCTTCCTATGTTCTCTTTTCCCCTCACCTCTTCGGTTGGTGCGTCTCTTTTCCTTCCCCGACGGTGCACCACTAAGAGATACAGACTAAGAGTAGAGAGGAAGAGACTCTGCTGATAAAGAGCCAATTTTTTATCTCTTGTTTCCCTTGTGAAGCAAATTCGATCGCCTCCCTTGCCGAAGGCGTCCGTTGGCTGTTGTGATTTCCCCGATTCCTTCTGTTTCGTTCATATGCATCGTCCGCTGAGAAAGGTGGCATCTTTATCGTAATTCGAGATGGGCGGTGGTGATCGGAGGGATGTAGCAGCGCAATAAACAGAGGAGAAGAAGAGGAGAGCAGCCATGAGTTTCAAGAGAGGAAGTGGTGGGGGAGGAGAGTTGTGGGCAAGGGGGAAGGTGCCCAAAAAATGGACCTTTTTGCTTTGCCTTGGAAGCTTTTGTGCTGGTCTGCTCTTCGCTAACAGGTGCCGATTTCCTCTGTTTAGTTGCTTCACTCGGAGCCCTTTGCTTCCTGAATTCTGTATTCCTTGTTGTGACCTTTAAATTCCTTTATTTCATGAATCCTTATAATTTCATATTTTCGTTGTAAAAGCCGGATCGAGTCTGTATCGTGCTGCACTAGGTCCAATTAGTATTCAATCTCGATTAGATTCATACATCGAAGCAGATTAGAAAATTCGGTTCTGTCGATCGTTGTAGGAGGAGATGAGGGACTGCTGGAAAATATGGGTAGTACAGAAAGTTGCTAAAATGAATTTTTTGATATCATTATAAGTTTTTTATATCAGTTCTGTAAGGATGGATGAGATGAAGAAGAATACGAGGCCAAGCATTCATAAGAAAATTGCAGAGTATCATGTCTTAGCTTCTGCAAAGTAGGGTAATTTTATGTTTTTTCTTTGTTAGATACTGAATGGTACTGAACAGATTTTCTTACATTTATATGTTTATTATTATTACTATTACTATTACTATTATTATTATATATACAGCGGTTTAAGTTGTAGAATTTCTCAACATCATATTCTGTGCATCACCAAGTTCCAGTCCTTTTGTTGTGCTTTGGATTTTTCAATGAACCTACCTGATTAAAATATGTTGATGAAGAAGATAACTCTACTCTTTGGTCTCATTAGTCGATAGATAGCATCATCGCATGCTTTCCTTTGAAAAACATGTAGTTTCGAGTTACGATCATGGTTTGGTACCAACTTCGATCATTTTAGACAATTAACTTGGTGCTTCGATTGTGATACTGAACAATGGTGACTCTGACAGTTGGAAGATGCCTGAAGCGAAGGACATCATCAGGACATCAGGAACAGAAGACAAACTGAATCTAGTTGCCAACGACTGTAATCCGAGAATAGTGAGTGCATTAA